CTTTTTTTTTTTTTTTTTTTTGCCCCTGACACTAGGCAGGTTGGCTATTTTTCTTCTGCCTGAAACACCGTAAAGCTAGGGAAGCATTTGTTTCCACAGAAAACACGTGCAAGTCAATGAAAGCTTGCAGACCAGAAAATTGTTCTGTTAGGACACATACAGTGGAGCGTGCCCTGATTGGTACACGATGAAGGCCTCAGCCTGGAAAACGAAATTCTTTCCCTCCATGTTCTGCACTAGCAGTGATGAGGAGAATTGCCTTTTAGACGCTGTCCATTGTAGACGGACTGTCCGCTCCAGACGCTGGAAGACACAGACACTTCTGCCGGCGGGGATGCTAGTGTTCTGTGCAAATTGTGTACTTGTGAACACGTTGTGTTACTGTCGCTATTTCAACCTGTTTCCCTTCTAGGAAACCCACTGAATGTCTTTTTCATTATTAGTCATGATTTCCCCCCAACTTTTTACTTTAAAAATCTCAAGCCTATGAGAAGTTTGAAAGAAAGCACAATGAATATCCATTGGCCCTTTGGATTTTAACCGGTTATTATCTTGTGTAGCGTTTGCTTTATTACTCCATGTCCAATTTTGGCCGAGTCATTTGAAAGTAAGTTTTGACATACTAATACCTCATCCTCAAATACTTCAAACTGCATCTCTTAAGAAAAAGGACTTTTTCCTCAATATCCACAAGACCATTATCATGTCCAAGGAACTGAGCACTGTATTATGGCATGTAATCACCTCATATACAATCCAGTTCAGATTTCTCCAGTTTTCCTTAAAATGGTCTTTACTATCCCCACCCCCACCCTCCCTTATATCCATGAGCCAGTAAGGGGTCATACACTGCCCTGGATGTCGTGTCTTTTTGGTTTCCTTTCATCTGGTACAGGCCCTCTGAAATTCTTTTATTTTTTTATTTATTTTGAGAGAGAGAGATAGCAGGGGAGGGGCAGAGAGAGAGAGAGATAGCAGGGGAGGGGCAGAGAGAGCACGAGAGAGACATAATTCGAAACAGCACAGAGCCTGATGTGGGGCTTGGAACTCACGAACTGTGAGATCACGACCTTAGCCGAAATCAAGAATCAGACACTTTACTGACTGAGCCACCCAGGTCCCCCGTCTGGTGGCTTCCCTTCCCTCCCCTCCCCCCCCCCCCCCCCCCCCCCCCCCCCCCCCCCCCCCCCCCCCCCCCCCCCCCCCCCCCCCCCCCCCCCCCCCTCCCCTCCCCTTCCCTTCCCTTCCCTTCCCTTTTCTTTTCGAGAGAGAGAGAGAGAGAGAGAGAGAGAGAGAGAGAGACAGAGTATATGTAGGGGAGGGACAGAGAAAGGGGGAGACACAGAATCCAAAGCAGGCTCCAAGCTCTGAGCTGTCAGCACACAGCCCAATGTGGGGCTTGAACCTACAGACTGCGAGATCATGACCTGAGCCAAAGTCAGATGCTTAACTGACTGAGCCACCCAGGTGCCCCTGGTGGTTTTTTTAAAATTAGATTCAGGTTATCCGTTTGGCAAGACCCTTCATAAGTGAGGCTGTGTGCCTCCCACTGGGAGCCTCTTGACAGCTTGTCTTGTCCTTGGTGAAGCTGGATTTCATCACCAGGTGAAGGAGTGATGTTGGTTCTCTCCACTGCAAGGTTATCTTTTCTCTTTGTCACTCATAGGTAGACTGTGAGACAATACTTTCAATTTGCTTTTTTCTTAATATAAGCCTGCTGAATTTATGTGTTGAAAATACCTGTGGGGAGCATGGGTGGCTCAGTCAGTTAAGCGTCTGACTTCAGCTCAGGTTATAATCTTGCAGTTCCTGAGTTTGAGCCCTGCGTCAGGCTCTGTGCTGACAGCTCAGAGCCTGGTGCCTGCTTCAGATTCTGTGTCTCCCTCTGTCTCTGCCCCTCCCCCACGCACACTCTGTTTCTCTCTCTCTCTCTCTTAAAAATAAATAAACATTAAAAATTTTCTTAGAAGAAAATACCTATGGATGCATGTGAGGCCCAGATTACCCAGTCTGTGGCCTACTTCAAACAAACACATGTCACTCACCATTCTGAATAGACAATATTAAATAGGATTAAACAAAAGGTTGTAAGTGAAAAAACTTGCTCCCTTCCCTGTCTTGCATCTATCTGCCCTGCTTCTATGTCCCTCCTGGCCGTGTAGAGAGCATCTCCATTGTTTCTACATCTGTTATTTTCCAGTCTGTATTCTATTGCATGGTTGCTCCAGAATTTATTTAATGAGTCTACTCTTAATTTATATTTACATTGTTTCCGGACCATTTGTATTTCAGACAGTGCTGTAGTGAATGCTTTTTTTTAAGATGTCATTTCACATTTTAGCGAGTAAATAACAGAGTCCCAGTGTTCCCCAAGTGGATCTACATTTTCACTAGTTTCCCTTCCCCAGGGCCTCTGAGTCTCCCTGGCAATGCTTCCACCTGTACCACTAACCCACCCTTCGCTTCCCTGCCCAGCCACGTGTCTTACCTCATTCCAGACCTCTGTGCTACTGGGGGTGAGACCCCATATTGCCACATTGAATCTAGCTTCCCGGGGCTCATGCCTCTTCCTCTGCCCCAAGGTTCTCCCTTAATTACCCACAGCACAGCCAAGACCAGGATGTGGCATTTAACAGAAGCTAACTGAAGGTTTGGGTGTAGCAGAAGGAGATTATAATACAGGACGCAAAGGCACAGCAAGTCACATACACTTTCATCCACACACACCCGGACGGTGTGACTGCCTCCTGCGTCCCAACCTCTCAGCAGGTGGTACCCACTGGCCATCTTCTCTCCTCTCCTGTTGGTCTTGATGCCCTTCTTCAGGGGCCTCTTTGGCCCCTCGGTTAAGATTCTGAACTCTATATCGTCCTCAAAGGGGAGCAAAGTTCTCCACAAGGGAGGTAGGATCTTTAGAGATGTTAAGACAATGAGGACAACCAGTTATTATATTGCAGAGTCATTTACTCCTCATTTTTTTTTGAAACCCCTCATTCCAGAAAAAAATTATTGTTTTTTTGATTTGGGCATCAGCAAACTACAGTCTGGGGGCCAATTGCAACCTGCTGCCTGTTTTTGTACAACTGGCTAGCAATGATTTCTACTCGTTAATATTTTTTTTCTTTTTCAAAATTTTAAATGTTTATTTATTTTTGAGGGAGAGAGAGCCAGCATGAGCAGGGGAGGGACAGAGAGAGAGGGAGACACAGAATCTCAAACAGGCTCTGGCTCTGAGTTGTCAGCACAGAGCCTGATGCGGGGCTCGAACTCATGGACTGCGAGATCATGACCGAGGTCGGACACTCAACTGACTGAGCCACCCAGGCACCCCTCTATTGGTTAACATTTCTAATCAATTTGATGATAAGGAGCATTGAGGTTCAGAGAGAAGAACTTCATTCTTCTTACTAGTGGACCTATATTACAAAAAATTATTGTTATATTTTGGGTTTTGTTAATAAACTTTTTTTTTTTTCTCTCTTGTTACTTAATATCTTTGATATTTGCCTCTTGGCCCACAAGGTGTAAAATGTTCCCTTACACAAAAAGCTTGTTGACTCCTCCTGATTTTGGGGATTTCAAAGCAACTGCTTTAATGAGTATTTTACAGTATAAATCTAATCCACCTTTCCTCAAAGTAAATCCAGTTTTCTACCTCGAGAGACACAAAGTGCTTGTATTTTTAAAAGGGCAGTCTTAATTATTCAAAATTGAGCACAGACTGGGATTAGATGATATTAAGGAATTATTGCTAATAATTCATGTATAAAATTGCTATTGTGTTTGTGTTTAAAAAGTTCCTCATATATCAGAGATATGCACGGAAATATTTCTGGGTGAATTGTTGTGATGTTTGCTCTGAAAATACTCCAGAAAATAAAAGTGGCATCTATGATGGAATAGATGAAACAAGAAAGATAAGACTTTGAATATTTTCATAATAAAAACAGCAGTCTCCCACTGTTACCGTCAAAAACAAAAACATATGGCCACCTGTGTATCTGTCTCCATCTGGTCCAGCCTCGGCAAGGGCACTCCAGGACAGAGGAGCACTCACTGTGTTGTCTAATTGAATATACCTGGGGCAGTTGAGGCTGTCTGAACCAGGAGAAAGGGACATCTGAGAATCTAAGGGATTCTTGACACACAGACCAAGTTGACAACTATTGACCCTGAGGAGGAGGGGGTCTGGGATTGGGGTAGGGCCACCCTTACAGTTTTCTTGTTTGGAGAGAGCTGGCTCTTGAGTTTCACACTTAGAGAGGCGTCTGTCTGGGCCTTTGATGAATTGAAGAACACCTCCTCGTAGTGAGAACTTTGAGTGGTAAGATGAGTCATGTTCTAATTAAAATCTAGAGGGATTGGGGGGCCTGGGTGCCCAGTCTGTGAAGCTTCCAGCTCAGGTCATAATCTCATGGTCATGAGTTCGAGCCCCATGCTGGGCTCTGCACTGACAGTGTGGAGCCTGCTTGGGATTCTCTCTCTCTCTCTCTCTCTCTCTCTCTTTGTCTCAAAAATAAATAAACTTAAAAAGAAAATTAAACATAATAAAACAATTTTAAAAATCTAGAGGGATAGGGAATGGAGGCTTCTTAATTTCTTTGCATTTATTGGCAAATTAGTTTTCTTGGAAAACCTAGATGCTTATATTTTTCTGACTTTTCTGTTTCTTTTATAGCTGCCCAGTCAGGAATACTTGACAGAACGATTTCTCTGATTATGAAGAATCAAACACCGACAAAGAAGGTTTGTATGCCTTGTAAGAATCATCGTCTCAGTGATCATCTCTTACTCTACGTGGAAGCAGTGTTTTCCAACAATTCTTCCACTTCCGTATTAGGTTTCTCTAATATGGGCACTTTCATTTTTGCCTTCAGTATATTTTTGTTCTATAATTTCCATTTTTCACTGTATAAAGATAGACCATAAAAATTAAATTGTAATTACTTTAGAGTAAATAATAAATTCTGAGGTATTATATAATGCCAGATAAAGAGCCACTTTCCAACTCAGTCTCACATGCAAATTTAGTATGATGGCTACACCTCGTGTCCCCTGGTGACTGGCTACAACCGGGTGATTCTTGCGGAGTTTGACTACAATGCTCAGCCGCTGGAGACCTTCCCCTTTGACCAGAGCAAAGAGCGACTTTCCATGTACCTCATGAAGGCCGACCTGATGCCTTTCCTGTATTGGAATGTGATGCTAAGGTAAGGTCGTCACCTAGGGTAGAGTTGTGTGCAGGGTGGTTGTCTCAAGGAAGCCCTCTGGCTCCAGGAGACATCATGACCCAAGGCAGAAATGGCACCTGGAGTCTGCTTGGCTGTGCTGTTTCTAATGCATCTGCGATGGTGGCCTATGAAGGATCTGAAACCTTAGCTGTGTTCTCTTGCTACTGGATTAATAATAACAAAAATAATAGTAAATCACTTTCACATGTCAAGTACTTTCTCATCTGCCACCTTTTGTTTTTATTGTGTTCTAGGAAAAATAAACCATAGTGATTAAGTGCAAAAGCTTTGGAGTCAGACCTGTGCCTGAGTCCTGCTTCTGCCATTGACTAGCTGTGTGTCCTAGGGCAGGTTGCTTAACTAGTCTCATCTGCAAAGTGAAATTAACATTGCCTACCTCACAGGATGAAGATCAATGAGATGACATTGAAGAGCTACATAGTAGGCATTCAATGAGTAAACAGAATAACAAAAACTAAAATTCTCTTGGTACAAAAAATGACAATCTCATTCCACTTGTCCAAACCCTTAAGAGATAGTTAAGTCAGGGTACGTACACCAGTGATTTTGTCTTAGAGGGGACCTTTGTCAGTATCAGGAGACATGTTTGATTGTCACAACTGGGGGGGATGCTTGTGAGCCTCTATTGAGTAGAGGCCAGAGATGCTGCTAACCCTCTTAAAATGCATATGCCAGTCCCACAACAGAGAAATGTCTGGCCCAAATTGTCAATAGGGCCATAATTGGGAAATCCTGACCTATACTTAATTTACAAGCAAATGAGAGTAGAAAGGATTGCAGTTTGCATGTAGCAGAGGCTTCACACGGGTTTGCTGAATTGAGTCTGCATGTCTAGTCTCACATAACAAGTCAGTGTCAAAGCCAGGATTCAAAGTACGTTGTCTACTCCTGGCCGTGGGATCTTTCTACCTCACTAGACAACTCTTGCTTTGTGTGCTGAGAAGCATGCTCTGTGAGCAACTTGGCTTCCTTTTCAGCATCCTGCTGCTATCTTTTCTGATGCAAATAGTCTTCTCTGTGTCATTTCTTACAGGGGTTACTGGGGAGGACCAGCCGTTGTGCGGAAGTTGTTTCATCTGGGTATGAGTTAAGGATGGCTCAACCCTTGCTCTCCGTGGATGGCTTCTGAACCCAAATCACAGTCGTTGATTGACCAAGAGCAGCATGAAGAACTTCAAACCTAACCCTGTGCTAAGAGTTTACTGCTGGATGATGGTGACCAAATGCCTCCCTTTTCAGTGCCTCTGGACAGCCACCATGTGGTCTCCCCAGGATGAGTTTGATTCTTTGGAAATACTCAAATGAAAGATTAGATTTCTATTTTTTAAATAAAAGCTTGCCATTGATTGAGATATTCTATGAGACAATTTTATCTCGACTGGTAGAGTGAAAAGTCACAGCAGTTGGGAGCAAACATTGCTGGTAGGAGCTTACCTGTTAACCTACTGTGAGTGTTCCACTGATAGCTGATGCATTTTCACCAGACCCTGTTTGGATTCACAGAAAAGCCATTCCAGGGAGAGTGTTATTTCAAATGGTGGGTGTGCCAGCCCAGAACACGTAATGCTTAGAATTTCTCAGCCGGGGCATAGTGGCTGCTGCCCTCTGCTTGGCCGCCATGTTTGTGCTGAGGCCACACCTCCTTCCCATCAATAACTGATGGATGCTGGCTCATCCCTATAGAATATAGGACTCCTCTACTCGGCAGCTGGCTCCATAATTCCCCATCAACCTGGCTGAGGCCTTCTTAGAACTGTGTCATTAGAGACCCTCCTACCTACCCCCCTTCCTGTCCCAGGTGTCCCACCTGCATCCCAGTCTGAAAGCCCTCCATGCGTCTCCTGTTCCTTTTCCTTTAGACTTTGCAGACCTTCCCCCACTGAACCTCTTGCACATCTGACTCTCAGGGCACCTGCTTCTCAGGGAACGTACGCACAGTGAGGATGGGGCTAGAGGAAATCTGATGTGTGTGGTGAGCATTTGCCTGACTCAGTCCCAAATTTGGCCAGTAAAATTTTGGATGGGTTCACATTGGAAATATTATAGGAAGTAGTTCATTGATTTGAAGTTCAGCAATGGCTTCAAAATCATTTGTTCCCAGTTTGCTTGTGGAAACTTACAGTTTCAGTTCAATCTGGTATTTATTTTTATTATTTTATTTCATTTCATTTCATTTTTTAAATGTTTATTTTTCAGAGAGAGAGAGAGAGAGTGGGGGAGGAGCAGAAAGAGACGGGCACAGAGGATGCAAAGCAGGCTCTGTGCTGACAGCAGAGAACCCAATGCGGGGCTTGAACTCATGAACTGTGAGATCATGACCTGAGCTGAAGTCAGAGGCTTAAACAACTGAGCCACCCAGGCACCCCCAATCTGGTATTTTAGGGCTTTGTACATTTTATATTTATTTATAAACTCCATCACAGGGAAATGCATAGCAGTCTATGCAGCACCTTAGATTTTTACAACCATTCAGAGTTCAAACCTAAACAGCTACCTAGTTTAGGCAACAGTGCTACCTGGGATTGCCGAGTCTCTCTGGTTTTCTGGAGTTCGGCTGATGACTCAAGAAACTGCTCAAGCATTCATGTATTAACTCAACAAGTAATTTATTGAACACTTACTACCTGCCAAGCACTCTTTTGGCCCAGACGATGCAATGGTGAACCAGACAGAGAGGGCTCTGCCCACACTTCTGGGGTTCATATGATAGTTCCCTCTTCTCTTCTTGGGATGCCAGGGGGCTTGCTGGATGAGGCCTTGGTTGATTTCGAAAGTAGGCTTTCCTCAGTGGTACAAATTCTGAAGAAAGAGTACAGGGCGCCACTCCTGCAGCAGAGCCCTGGCAATAGGGGTGGAAGATGTTTTCTGTGGTAGCTATACATCTGGTTTGTCTGCTGTATTCCCGTTTAACATCTGGTTTCTTGGCAGTGCGCCTTTCATCCCAAAATGTCCTGTCTGGACAGTATATTGACCACACTCCTGGGAACACTCCCCCCCACCCCCCACCAGCTCTGCCCTGCTCCTAGAGTGGGAGAGGGGAGCCACAAAAGCTACATTCACATGGTGCTTGTGAAACAGCCAGGGGTGGGATTATTCTGCCCTGTACTCTGAGTCCTGGCCTGAGGTGGCCGCAGCTTGGCTCCTAGTGGGCTTCCCATTCTCACAAGATGTGCGAGTCAGGGAGAGCTGGGGGCTCTTCAGCCCACGTGACCTTCCTCTGCAAAGTCCAAGAGTTCCTGGGAATAGCCAGCCATCGCTTTCTCCCTGGTTGTAGACAAACATGTTGGTGAAGCGGGTTTCTGCATTTCTAGCAATGGGCTGGGATTCTGGGAATAGTTGAGGCTCTAGGTCAAGTCACTTTGAAATCCCTTGCAGGGTGAACTGGAGCCTCTTGGGTCTGTTTATGATCATGCATTCTGCACAGACCCCTACGCACCGGGGGATTGCTTCTGGATTTGCATGATGCTGGGTAGAATTTATTGCCAAGGTTGGAGGGAGCAGTAGCCACTATTGGCCAGAATTCTAGAAAAGCTTGGTCCTTGAAGCCTTATCTCCTTAACCACAAATGTAGGGTTGGCCAAGGGAGGGACCTTCCCATGTGACTGCCTCCAGTTATTGGGATCAGGCAGCAGAAGAGAGGGTAAGACCAGGATAGAGACGAGGGTGCGTGCTTTCTCCACTGGTGAGGCCTCAGCCAGAGTGACTCGGGGGCTGAGGCCTTTCCAGCTAGGACCAATGACTTGAGAAATCTCTCCTTGGTCCCCTTCCCTTGTCCCTGGAGCTTCTTCTCGGGAATTGAAATTCTTGCCCTGGGTGAGCTATGGGGGTAATAACAGAGCTGGGGTGGCGGCTTAGGGCCCACTGGGTAGGGGGAGGGAAGTGAGACTTAAGTCACAGGGGGGAACATGGTTTCAGATTTAGTAGATGTTTTTGGTATTAAGGACAACTTTAGTGCTGTTTTCATGTCTAACTTTTGCAGAAAATTTGGAAGAGATTAACAAAAATAATAAAAATCCAAACCCATCCCCCAGTGATGATAATGTCTTAGTGTCTTTTTCTGTCACCCTAATAATATCACATTTGAAGTTGCTGAAAACAAAAAGAATCACACTCCAAGTACTGTTTGTCTTTTATACTTCATATGTGTTGAAGACCCAGAGATTGGTTGTAGAGAGGAGTAGGAGATTGGTGAGTAATGAATTACTCAAGGAGCACACATCATTGTGTTGGCTGAGAAAATTGCTAATTAACTAATGTAACAAATGTGTGTCCCGTGCCCCGGAGGGTATTGGGCTATAGTCAGCACTAGATACTTTTCTTACACAATCCTACAATAATCCTATGAACAAAATTATCAAAGACATAGAATAGTACTCTTTTTGAGGAAGGAGGCTTTTGTAATCCAATAATTAAGAGTAGCTTCTCTGACTGTTTTGATGCAGAGTTTTTTTTTAAATGTTTTTTTTTAAATGTTTTTTTTTTAAATGTTTATTTATTTATTTTTGAGAGAGAGAGAGAGAGGCAGAGACAGAGGGAGGGGCAGCAAGAGAGAGAGAATCCCAAGCAGGCTCTACACTGTCAGCACAGAGCCTGATGTGGGGCTGGAACTCATGAGCAGTGACATCGAGCCGAAATCAAGAATTGGACACTTAACTGACTGAGCCACCCAGGTGCCCCCACTCCAGTCTGATTTTAAAACAATGTCTCCCATTCATGCCCTAAGACCACGCTTGGAGCTTTCAGTTGGGATGGACTCATTGTGATCATTTCAGGGAAGGAAGGAACAAGACAAATACTTCGGATAAGATGAGCTTTTTTGAATGGATTAATGAAAACTAGGTCTCTCTAGTTAGGCTTTTTGTTTTCCTGTTTTTAATGTTTGTGTTTCAGAGAGAGAGAGAGAGAGAGGTGGTGAGTAGGGAAGGGACAGAGAGAAGAGGGGGACAGAGGATCCGAAGTGGTCTCAGTCCTGACAGCAGAGACTGGATGCGGGGCTCGGTCTCACGGACTGTGAGATCATGACCGGAGCTGAAGTCAGATGCTTAACTGACTGAGCCACCCAGCTGCTCCTCTAGTTAGGTTAACTGCCAATTAGCTAAGGAGATAGCTTGTCTGTATGCTGGAGAACGTGAAGGTTAATACTTTGCAGATAGGTACAAAGATCACAAAAGACAGTTGAGAAAGATGGATGGGGAAATACTGGACAGTTTTCTCTGTCAATGTTGATTTTTAAAATTAACTTCCTCGGAGGAGAGCACGCTTCAAACAGCCCTGAATTAAGTTATAGCTTTCCATATTTGCATGCAGTAAAACTCCTTCGATCGCATTGCTTAGGTACAGTCTGGGACCACTTCCAGGCCAATGGTGGGGCAGAAGCTGCAGAAAGGTAGGCTCTTTGGTGCTTCCCTGGCACAAGCTGGCTTCAGATCTTCTTGAAGGACAGCCCGATGGAACACAGGACTTGAACCACAGATCTGGATTTGGGTCTTGGCCCTCCCATTCATTAGTGTCTCAGCATCCAACTGAAGCTTCTTCTTCTTCTTTTTTAATGTTTACTTATTTATTTTGAGAGAGAAAGAGTGTGCAAGGGGGAGTGAGGGAGGCAGAGAGAGAGAGAGAGAGAGAGAGAGAGAGAGAGAATCCCAAGCAGGCTCCACGCTATCAGTGCAGAGCCTGATGCAGGGCTCGATCTCATGAACTGTGAGATCATGACCTGAGCTTAAATCAAGGGTTGGCTGCTTAACCCACTGAACCACCCAGATACTGTAGCAGGATTCTCACACTGAGAGTCATGACCTGAGGCTTTTCTTTCTAGGAAGCAACTTTATTTGTGCCAGCATGGCTCAGTTAAGTTCGTAACAAAGAACTGAGCCCCGAAAGCCACGTGGTGTAGTTTTTAAAATAAATTTCTACTTCTTTGTCTCTCATATATGGTAACATACAAACATGTAGTCTGATTAAGTGGTCTCATGTTACAAGGTCATGAGGGATGTTGTCACATCCACGTATAGCCAGGTTGCCTTGAGGATTTTTTTTTTTTCCTTTGGGGAGGGGGCCCTACCACAGTGCCCCCCAACTCAAGCTTTTAAATCACCACTTTTTCTCCTGTAGAGTGGGTGGTAATACTACTTCATAGAATTGATGTATAGAATCAGGGTATAGCTTTTGGCAGTTTGGCACATAGACTGAAGCTATTATTGTCGTTAAGGCTGGTAGTTGAATGAAGCACTCAGAAATAGCAACTTCCCCTTAGACTAGGAATTCCTGTGTGCCTGGGAAAAATGGGGTCCTCCACGACACTTGTTGATACTTCTTATTGTCTTTGGATACTAGCCCTTCTGGCTTGTGTGAG